TCCATCTATCACAATACACCAAGTTCGGCACCATACCTGTACAGAATCGAGTGCAGACCAATATTGGAAAATATGCATGAAAATTCTGAGGAAATTTTGAAAAATTATTATTAGTTTCTGTACACTTCTCTAGTATCGTATATAAACTTCTATAACTAGTGAGGAGAGTACTGAGCTCAGCTGAGGAAAGCGAACCCGCTCTTCTTTGCAGCACTTGAGAGGAGTCCAGAACAGTGTGGGGAAAAATATGCACATGGTCAACTACATGTGTTGATAAATATACGGAAATTCTGGGAGGAAATTTTGCGAGATTCTTATCGAATTTGTATGTCAACTTTTGAACTCCGTAGAGGAAAGCCAACACTGGCGTAGACAGCAATAGAAGAACGAGTAATACTACCGGAGAGTAGCTCCTCAGTGAATATGTAATACTCGGCTGCTTTGGTCGTTTCCTCATAAATTCACTAAGACAAGAAGCTTATGAGTATTGATAGTAATACTCTTACTCAATAGCAGCGTCCACCTCCGTGATAGTGTGTGGTGTCTTATCGTCCTAAGCCATCAGGAACAGTACAGCTTGCCTGCTATTCTGCGGCTAGTATTCCTGCTGGCACATTTTCGACGCCTGTTTTTGCCGATTCCATTAACTACTTTTGCATAAAGCTGTGACTACGATCTCGCTCACTCGAGCTTCAAGCAACCGTGTTAGGGCTAGACACGTAGTCCCATCCGGGTTCAGTTCACGTGACTCACGTGACACGAGAAATGCACTCACGTGCATTGCGAGCGGATGACTCACGTTTTCCACCGAAAAACAGTGTTTATCGGAATATAATCCTACGCAGGCTGATCGGCATGAGCTACGATTGCGGGTTTGCCAACAGGGTGTTGGCAGCAGCTATCGTTTCCGGCAGTTTCGCTCGCTTGCTCCGACAACAGCAACAGTAGACAGTTTTCAGCGCGACAAGAGGCTGCGTCCTGGAGCATCATGCGCGTGTGCCTTGTGGCGTGTTTTATCTCTCAAGTCAATGTGACTGTAGGTATGGACAGCCCCATGTGTGAGACCTGTGCATTTGCCAGCATCATGGGCGTAGAAAATTCTGGAAACTCCGCCAATGTTCAATGATTCATCCCAATCCTCCAATATCCATTTTCACAGCAGAGGCTCCATTCTTTGACCATCAATGGAGCGGATGAAGAGCATTCACTTCGCACACTTGGAGGAGCATCGTTGGACGGCTCCTCCCATCGGCGAAGGCGCAACTATGACGAGTACTGTCACAGTCGCTGTGGCATAGGACAGCTGAAGCTGATAGCATTCGAGGAGAAGCCTGCGTTGTATCAGAATTCGAAGGTTGAGGGTTTCATCAGCCTTCAAAAAAGCCTCACAAAATACATCAGTTCCCGATGTTGAGATTAACCACTAGCAACATATAGATTCTTCTGATAGAACTTGATTACAGGTAGGCCTTAGCAATACGGGATCTACGACTGCTGTAGAACGTGTATCATGCCGAAGAGAGTGTCTCCAAGAGACAGTCTCTTCCCCATAGAGTTCATCGACATGGAGCGTCACGCACGTGCGTGCTCCATCCCGCGGTTCACTTCTTAGCCGATCAGTCAGTTCATCGGGCCTCGGACGACCTCGTAGTTGGAGGAGGATAGATTCCGCTCCCATCTGTTCATCGTTATCATCCCTATAACTTTGAGCGAATGTGAATTGAATTGCCGCAAGTATTCGCTGGTTGTAGGAAAATCTGCTTATCCGTTAGCTTCTTTCGTAAGCAAAATGATCAAGCAAACTATCCTCAGCATCCTCTTAGTTTGTAGAGCTACCAGTGGTCAAGATCCGAGCGGACCTAGCAACGTGCCTCCTCTTGGCTCGTACCTTCAGTATGATCCGGCCACCGGTCTCGATAAAGACGACCTAGTTGTCACTGTCAATAGCGACGAGAAAGGAAAGAGGTTAATCACGGTTTACATCGCAAAAAATAACGACAGTAAAGTCGATTTACAGTCTATTATTTATCAGATCGACAACGTCCCCCTCAAGATGACGAAGAGCTCAGGTGACCTCTACAGCGTGGACTATAGCTCCCCGGTCGCTAAGAGCACGTTGTATCCCTATGGTGCTATCGATTTCAAGCTAGACTATGATTCTTCTAAGCAGAGGTTCATCTTAACTCACCGACCGACTCATACCAAGTATACGCTCGTATTTCGTATGGTATTATCGGGTGAGGATCACTCAAAAAAGCTGCGAGGATTAGCGGAGCCCTCCAGTGGCGGTATTAAGGCCAAAAAATATTGTGGTGTTGGTGACCACAAAGGGGATACTATTCGGATGTATACCGAGAAGGGGCGTCTTCAAGCTTTCTTTCAAAATGCAGTGGATTCTTCTATCTATGGGCAAGTATGCGAAATATCGGTCATTACTAACTATGCATTGTCAGGGAGATACCTCTTT